CTGGGACGGTATTTGAGGCACATGATATGTCATTGCCATGTACTTAATTTGTTATTATTCAGCTACGCATAGGTACCATGCATTGGGGAAGTATTCGTAGCGCTTCACGTTTTCCATGTTTTATTTTTATATTACAGCCTTATTCCAAAATAGATTCAAATAATTTATTTCTTCCAAATTCTACACACAATGGCCCATGATGACAATTTGAAAATAGATATATTAAAAATGTGGCAAATTTATTTCAAATAAAAAAAGCTGAAAAATCACATGTACATAAGTATTCACAGCCTTTGCTCAGTACTTTATTGAGGCACCTTTGGCAGCAATTACAGCCTCAAGTCTTTTTGAATATGATGCCACAAGCTTGGCACACCTGTCATTGGGGATTTTTGCCCATTTCTCTTTGCAGTACCTCTCAAACTCAGGTTGGGTGAGAAGCAACGACGTACAGCTATTTTCAGATCTCTCCAGATATTTTCAATAAGATTTAGGTCTGGGCTCTGGCTGGGCCACTCAAGGACATTCACCAAGTTGTTGTGAAGCCACTCCATTGATATTTTAGCAATGTGCTTTGGGTCATTGTTCTGCTGAAAGATGAACCGTCGCCCCAGTCTGAGGTCAAGAGCACTCTGAAGCAGATTTTCATTCAGGATGTCTCTGTACATTTGCTGCAATCATCTTTCTCTCTATCCTGACAAGTCTTCCAGTTCCTGCTGCTGAAAAACATCGCCACAGCGTGATGCTGCCACCACCATGCTTCACTGTAGGTATGGTATTAGTCTGGTGATGAGCGGTGCCTAGTTTTCTCTAAACATAACGCCTGGCATTCACTTCAAAGAGTTCAATTTCAGTCTCATCAGACCAGAGAATTTTGTTTCTTATGGTCTGAGAGTCCTTGAGATGCCTTTTGGCAAGTTCTCGGTGGGGAGTGGCTTCTGACTGACCACTCTACCATACAGGTCTGATTGGTGGATTGCTGCACAGATGGTTGTCCTTCTGTAAGGTTCTCCTCTCTCCTCAGAAGGACGCTGGAGCTCAGACAGAGTGACCATCGGGTTATTGATCAACTCCCTGACTAAGGACTTTCTCCCCAATCACTCGGCTTAAATGGCCAGCCAGCTCTAGGAAAAGTCCTGGTTGTTCTAATCATCTTCCACCTACGGTTGATGGAGGCCACTGTGCTCACTGGAACTTTCAGAGCAGTAGAACTGTTTCTGTAACCTTCCCCAGCCTTGTACCTCGAGACAATCCTGTCTCAGAGGTCTACAGACAATTCCTTTGTCTTCAAGCTTGGTTTGTGCTTTGGCATGCGCTGTCAACCCTGGGACCTTATATAGACAGGTGTATGCCTTTTCAAATCATGTCCAATCAACTGAATTTACCACAGGTGAACTCCAATTAAGCTGCTGTAACATCTCAAGAATGATCAGTGAAAACAGAATGTAACTGAGCTCAATTTAGAGCTTCATGGCTGTGAATACTTCTGTACATGTGATTTTTCAGGATTTTGTTGTTGTTGTTGTTTTTTTTTTTTTTATAAATTTGCAGCAATTTCAAAAAATCTTTTTTCACATTTTCATTATGGGGTATTGTGTGTACAATTCTGAGGAAATAAATGAATGTAACCCATTTTGAATTTAAGGCTGTAACATAAAAAAGTGGACAAGTGAAGCGCTATAAATACTTTTCGGATGCACTGAATGGCACCTTTAAATATTGGTTCCGGGATGCAACAAGTCCAGAGACTGTAGTTCACATCGTGATTTGTTTTTAAGGTTTGCTTTAAAGTGTGAGAGGACTAATCAGTGGACATAAATGACTATTGAGTTTTCTCAATTTAAATGAGCGGATTCTTGGACCTGGAAATAGTAATCCAATCATTTAAAGCGTTCAAATCATCTTTACACATGTAAGATAATTAAGAAGTGTACAGGGACCAAACAGTTGCACTGCTAGAATACTGGTTCTCAGTTAAGTTTATTTGCTGAAAATTCTTTCCCCATGGGCGATGCAGTGACGCAGTAGGTAACAGGATTACCCCAAAGCAAGGAGGTCGCTGGTTCGAGCCTCGGCTGGGTCAAATGGCATTTCTGTGTGGAGTTTGTATGTTTTCCCTATGTTTATGTGGGTTTTCTCCGGGTGCTCCGGTTTCCCCCACAAGTTCAAAGACATGGGCTTTAGATGAATTGGGGAAGCTAAACTGGCTGTAGTGTGTGGGAATGAGTGTGTATAGATGTTTCCCGGTGATGGGTTGCAGCAGGAAGGGCATCCGCTGCGTAAAACATATGCTGGACAAGTTGGTGGTTCATTCAACTGTGGCGACCCCTGATTAATAAAGGGATTAAGCCAAAAAGAAATGAATTATGTATTTCCCCATGAATATTAGTCAGATATGACAGAAAGCTGTCACGATTTTTCATATTTTTATTTTATATCTTTTATTTTTTTGCATTTGGGCCTGTTTCTTCCTCACGTTTGTTCCACATCACGTTTCCTGTGGCGTCCCCGTGAGCGAGTTTCCATTCATCCATCCCAGCAATCCCCTCGCTCCCCCTTAGAGATTGATGGAGCAGATCTGAAAGCGCCTGCCTCAATAATTAGTGTACGGCACAGGAAAAGACAGCATCTCTGACTCGGCATATCAATAATTAATGATGGGAATCTAAATAAAATGTTGCAGAGCAGTTTAGCTGCCAGGCACATTGCCTGGGTGTTTGAGTTCAGAGCTTGAGTCGTGAGTTCTTTTAAAGTCTTGAAATGGAGGAATGCTGGTTTAGAGGCTGTTAATAGAGCTTAAATATGAGAAATAAAAAAGAGTGCAACACTATGAAATAAATGCAAATGAATCTGATGAGTTGTGTTTGTAATTATATTGAAATTCTGCACACTGATCTTGAGCAGTTTGAGAAACTGGCAAATTTGGTGATCTTTCCTCAAGAATGGACAATGTAGCCAGTTTTCCCTCGATTTAATACAGTTGATATTTTAAAAGCTATTTTTTTTTTGTGTTGCTGTTAATAAAGGTGATCTAACTTAACTATCATTTTAAAAATAACATGCACATTATAACAGATGGTAACACTTTATTTTGATGCTCCATTTGAGTATTAGTAGACTGTCTGCCTAATCTATATTGATACTGCTGCTAAACAGACATTTAACTGAAACTTTTCAAGTACATTATAACTTACACTAACCCCAACCTAACAGTATACTTATAATCTAATGAGAATTAGTTGACATGGAGATGCAATGTAACTTAAATTTAACAAACGGACCATCAAAATAAAGTGTGACCTAACAGACATCAACAGAAATTGAAATTCAGGAAGCAGGTGTTAAAATAAATTAAATGAATATCTGCAGTGGGGCGAAGCAGTGGCGCAGTAGGTAATGCTGTCGCCTCACAGCAAGAAGGTCGCTGGGTCGCTGGTTCAAGCCTTGGCTCAGTTGGCGTTTCTGTGTGGAGTTTGCATGTTCTCCCTGCGTTCGAGTGGGTTTCCTCTGGGTGCTCCGGTTTTCCCCACAGTCCAAAAGACATGCAGTACAGGTGAATTGGGTAGGCTAAATTGTCCATAGTGTATGAGTGTGTGTATGAATGATGTTTCCCAGAGATGGGTTGCGGCTGGAAGGGCATCCGCTGCGTAAAAACTTGCTGGATAAGTTGGCGGTTCATTCCGCTGTGGCGACCCCGGATTAATAAAGGGACTAAGCCGACAAGAAAATGAATGAATGAATATCTGCAGTTTATCAATAGGTGTCATCAATAACTATTATATTAGCAAATAACAATTAAATGTATAAAAATGTAACATTATTTACTCATTTTTATGTAACTATCGCTATTTTCTGTTTACTTGTAATACTTTTGTTGATGTAACCATTCAGTAGTTCATTTGTAACTTTTTGATGCATTTTGGTAGATACTTTTATTCAAACTGGCTTTCACTTTGTAAAAAATTACACTGTAAAAACTGAATGACAAAAAAATTAAGACACCAAATATGTTTATGTTGTTTGAACATTATTATTTCAACAAGTTAATCAGGTTTCAACATTTATTTAAGTTACACAATGTTTAACTTAATATTTTATGTTTAGTTTAAATTAAGTTAACATGAAAAGTTAATATGATTTAACAACAACAAAAAGGCAGCAAGATTTGTTTACAGTGCTGCCTTTAGAGTACATGTTTACTTATTATCAGTTCTTTAAAGTTAGTATGAACATTCCATGTTTATCTATTTAATGTAGGGTGAATTCAGGTCAGCTGGGACATGTTTTGCCATTGAGACCTGAATTCACACTAAAGTATCATTCAAACATAACAACAGTGTAATTTTCTGACTCCTATTATCATATTTTATTTCGTTTATTCATTTCTTTTCTTTTCGGCTTAGTCCCTTTATTAATCCGGGGTCGCCACAGCGGAATGAACCGCCAACTTATCCCCATATGTTTTACACAGCAGAACTCTTCCAGCTGCAATCACTGGGAAATACCCATACACACTTATCCACACACATGCACTACGGCCAATTTAGCTTACTCAGTTCACCTATCGCATGTCTTTGGACTTGTAGGGAAAACCGGAGCACCCGAACACAGAGAGAACTTGCAAACTCCACACAGAAATGCCAACTGACCCAGCCATGACTCGAACCAGCAACCTTCTTGCTGTGAGGCGACAGCCCTACCCACCGCAACGACCCAATTGTGTTTTCTTTAGCTATTTTTTGTCAATGTGTTTTGATATCTCAAACTGTTCACTTGGTCCAGCTGATTTTATTTATAGCACAAAATGACTAATTGAGAGGCAGAATATTTTGTTAATGCAGCAACTGACATTTCTGGACAGTCATCTTTTAGCATTTATATTTTAGTAAGATAGATTAAATGCTAAAATAAAGTCTAATTAAACAACTGCTGCTAACTAAAGTTCAGCTTATCCACACTAAATGTTCTTGATGTGTGTGTGTGTGTGTGTGTGTGTGTAGTTGACTGCATGCGTCCTGCAGTGTCTCCGGTTGGCCTGCATAAGCTGGTTCAGTCTCTCTGCGGACTGCAGGGAGAGAAAAGTCAGCTGAGAGGAGAACTGCGCTCGCTTCATTCCCAGCTCGAGCAGAGAGAACAAGATCGACACACTAAAGTACAGGCCTTCCAGCAACAGGTGCTGAGTGTTGACCTACACTTTCCCTCTACACAATCAATTACTGAGAACAATCATTCATCTGCTCATTAAACTCAGTGCATGTGTGATCACTAATCCACTGACTTTCAGCATGTTCAGTTTCATCATTTTGTTTCTTGACAATGATATCCAAAGCATTCTGGATTCCTAAAACAGGTATCCTAGAGAACATTTGATCATTCACTCATCTTTATTAGCTGTTGTTTTAATTATTTCTGTTAAACACAAAATAAAACATTTTGAAAAATGATTTTAAAGCTGATAGCTTTTGACATCCATAGTATTTTTTTATTGACTACAATGTCAAAGGCTTCCAGTTTTCAACATTCTTTAGAAGAAAGAAACTTATAAATAGAAATCATTTTAAAGATTTTCATTAATGGGTGAACTATAACTTTAACCCTTTATAGGAGTTATATTTATCTGGGAAATCTGGGGATTCTTACAAGACTTTAAAATTTTTATAAATAAAAGTAAATAAATAAATTATATATATACTTTTTTTTTTTTTCAAATTATATAAATATTGTAATCAATGCCAATGAAATATCCATGTCTAACCCAGGACCAAAGTCTGAATATCTCTGTGAAAAGCCAAAAATACATTATATGAGTACACAGACATTTCACCCTGCAGCCCAAGACCGGTTACTGACTGAAGGTAAACAGGGCTGAGCCTGGCCAGTAACTGGATGAAAGACCACATGGGAAAACTAGGTTGCTGTTAGAAGTGGTTTTAGTGAGGCCAGCAGGGGGCGCTCAACCTGTGGTCTTTGTGAGTCCTAATGCCCCAGTATAGTAAAGGGGACACTAAACTGTCAGTGGGTGCCGTCTTTCAGTCTTGACTCTCTATGGTTATTAAAAATCCCATGGCACTTCTCGTAAAGAGTAGGGGTGTAGCCCCAATGTCCTGGCCAAATTCCCTCCATTTGCCCTTACCATCATGGCCTCCCAATCATCCCATACATGTATTACTGTGTCTCATGCACTGGCCCCGTTGTCCTGTGTCTGCCGTTGCACCATCCAAGTGCATGCTGCATACTGATGATGGTGGGGAGTGATTGGGATTGAGGAGTCATAACAAAGCTTGAAAGTACAATTATTAAGCACATTATAAATGTGCTTATAAGTCAAGAATACAGCATTTGTAGCTGCATATATATAACAAATTTACTATTTGCTAATGCAAATGAATCAATAGATGATTCATAGTGTGAAGTTATTGAAGAGTGTAACCAAGTCAGTAAATTTTATATAATTTTATATCAAATTTATTTAAATATATATATATATATATATATATATATATATATATATATAATCTTTAAACTGAAGTCTTTAAATATTATATAGTTGATTTTATTTTCTATTAAATAACTTCTATTTCTCCATAATTTTAATCATTATAGTTATTATTATTTTTTTGTATATGTTGTTATTATTTTTAAGGTCACAAGTAGTTAAGCATTTCACTGAATATCTTATCGTGTATGACTGTATGTGACAGATTGTCAACTTGGAATTATGAGGTTATTTCTGATAAATAAAAATTTAGTTATTGATATATTTTTTCAAATGGAAACTTAATTAAATTATGTGGTGTTTTTTATAGATTGTTTACATTTTAAGACTTTATTTTTATTTTTTATTTAAAAAAAAACAACTGTTAATATTACAACATACTGTTTGCTATGGAATGCAAAAACTTTTAAACTTGATATCTCAAGGTTATTCAGAACGCAGATAGAACCTTATAACTCCAAGGTGACAAAATACAATTTGAATTTAACAGAGATGTTCTCAATATCCTAAAAATGATCAAATTGTCCTATATTAACCTGATGAAAGCTTAAACCCTTTTGTCTTTATGCATAATTCTTCTTCAGATGAAATGTTCACTCAGTTTCATACCTTCCCTTCAGCTGTTTTTCTTTCCAGACTTGCTAAGCTGACAGAATTGATTTTCTCCCTGTAGATTGATGAGCTGAAGAGCTGCATTGAGGAAAGGGAA